CTGTAGAAGGAGAGTGTACAGTGTTCATCTTAGCTCATTTTCACTCTATTGGGCGCCTTCTTGGGCTGTTGGGTACTTTCCCAGTGTCTTCCTAGAGTTCTGTTTTTTTAATCGTGGGTGGGATGGGTGCTAATCCACTCAGGCATGTCCAGCCCTGTCACTCTGTAACGACAAAGGGGGGACATGTGGCTTTCGTAGACAGAACGGAATTGTGGGTAAACTCCTCTCTCTTCCTCCACTCCATCAGGCCCTTCCTGTGCTCCACCCAGATCCCCCAACCAAGAAGAGCCCACAGGGAAGCCAACGCCTTACTTCAGAGCACTGCCTGACTCCCAAACAGCTTCACTCCTCAGCTCCTCGACAGCTATGTTTCTCTGACATGAAATAAACCAATGCACTCAAAGATGGAGTCTGAGTTTCTTATTTGAATGTTTTTTTTTTTTTTTTCTGGGTGGGCGTGAGGTGGGAAGGGGTGTTATTCTGTCCTGTTCTCCTGACCTGAGAGAGAAAAAAACGGGGTTGAAAGTTTGAGAAAACAAGGCAACTGCTTTGTAGGTACACGCCTTATGTGTCCACACACTTTCTCAGAGCAGGAACGTGATAAGCAATTTGATTGGTTTCTTAAAGTATGGCAGTTATTTGGACAGCCAATCGATGAAGCGACAGCAGTAAAGACGTTCCATCTGCCGCCCATCCCCTTAAAGCCACAAGAACAATGAGAGAGCTTGGCCTCGTGCAGGATCAATATCTGAACTCTGGCAAGAAAATGATTTTCATCATTGACCGCTTTTAAAACCAGAAATTCCTACACTGTGACTATCATTGATTTCCTATTAGAAGAAAGAAAAGTTGTTTAAATATTCAACAGTGCCAAATATACCTGGAACCCATATACATAACAAGCTGTCAACGTTTTTACTTTCTAGTCAGTGCTGTGTTGGGCGTTTAAAATAGAAAGTGACTGTGCTCTTAAAAGAGGATGACACACTAAGCTGTAGAGGAAAAAAACTGTCTGAGCTCTTATGAAATGTGGCTCCCCCAAATGTGGCTCCCCCACTTGCCTTTGGGGTCACTGTTCCCACAAGGTCAAAGGGCCCGATGCTGATGTGGTTCTCAAAATCACGAGGTCTCAGAGCAAAGGAGGACCTGAGGTCAAACGACACAAAGGTCCAGGGTGCCCACATTCAGTGGAACATGCTGGTCAAGGGTTGTTATAGCTGAAGGTCTACAGTGGATATAAAAAGTCTACACACCCTTATGAAATTGCAGGTTTTTGAAATGTAAAGACAGACATAATAACAATGTAAATGTCAGACTTCTTCCATCTGTAATGTGATCTTCCAACAAACAAAAATCCAGAGGAAAAACAAATACTTAAATATAGCTGCAAGCAGTGATACAGGGGCCAAGCACAACAAAGGAATCAGCAGAAGAAAGAATTATGATTTTAGGCCATGCAATTCAAAAGATATGTTAAAAAAAGGTATAATATAAGTTATATGCAATATGTGTTATAGCGCCACCTAGTGGTCAACTGACACAAAAACACTTGGGCACCCTCAGGGCATAGTCACAAACACAGGCACCAAATCTGGTGTCAGTACACAAAGGCATTGCGTAGATATGGCCTTTGTTAGTGCATTACTAGCGAATGCTATCCATAAACAAAAAATCATGGATAACTTTTGTGTGGCATGGTCTTAATATGCTCTGACTCAAGTTTCGTGAAGATTGGAGAAAATTTGTGGGAGGAGTAGTGAAAAGACTGTTTTCATTAAAATTCAAAATGGCGGACAACCAAATATGGTGGAAATGAAAATTGTATATGTCTGTTCAACTTGCCAGGACCCAAGGAATCAAAAGAAAAAAGAATCATAATTCTAAGCTAAAGACATCAAAAGTTATGAGTAGAAATTCAATTGTTTTAGTTATAGCGCCACCAAGGGTGAAATGACATAAAACTTCTTGGACACTCTCAGGACTGTGTAGGAAGTCCATATATCAAGTTTGGTGTGAAGACACAAAAGCATTGCCGAGATATGCCCTCACTACCTGTTTGGCGTCTTAGCTGTTGACTTTGTTAGCACATTACTAGCAAATGCTTTCCATAAACAAAAAATCATGGTTAACTTCTGTGTGGCATGCTCTCAATATGCTCTGACTCAATTTTTGTGAAGATTGGAGAAAATTTGTGGGAGGAGTAGCGAAAAGACTGTTTTCATTAAAATTCAAAATGGCGGACAACCAAATATGGTGGAAATGAAAATTTTACATCTGTTCAACTTGACATGATCCAAGGAATCAAACGAAAAATGAATCATAAATCTAAGCTAAAGACATCAAAAGTTATGAGCACAAATTCAATTGTTTTAGTTATAGCGCCACCTAGGGGTGAAATGACACAAAACTTCCTGGACACTCTCAGGACTGTGTAGGAAGTCCATATACCAAGTTTGGTGTGAAGACACAAAAGCGTTACCAAGATATGCCCTCACTTCCTGTTTGGTGTCTTCGCTGTCAAACTCATTTGCATGTTACGGGTGAACGCTTTGGAATATCTATTTTGCTGAATGCTTTGGAATATCTATATTCGGATAACTTTTGTGAGGTCTGGTCTGAAGATGATATGTACCAAATTTGGTAAAGATTGGACAGAATTTGTAGGAGGAGTAGCGAAAAAACAGTCTTTGTAAAAATTCACAATGGCGGAAAATCCTATATGGCGGACTTTGATGGCAATGGGTGTGTTGGACTCGGCCTGACCTAAGGAATCAAAAAAAAATTTGAAAAAATTTCAACAAGGTGAGGAGTTATGGCCAAAAATGTTAGCTGAACTTTGACCTGATGGTGGCGCCAGAGGGCTTGATTTACTGACCCCAAAATTGATGAGTGGACAGTTGGCACTGTCCTCTATGAGTGTGCCAAATTTCATAAAAAGCGTACGAACGGATCCATGGGCTGGCATAGACTTCCATGGCAGATGTATAATAATAATAATAATAATAATAATAATAATAATAAAAGAAGAAGAAGAAAACTAACAAAAACAATAGGGTTCCAGCACCTTAGGTGCTTGGCCCCTAATTATTAGGAACATTTTAAATTAAAAAAAACTACAACACCCTGATTGCATAAGTCTGCACACCCTTTCATAATGGGGGCTCTAGCTGTGTTCAAAGTTAACCAATCACATTCAAAATTATGCCTGTAGGTAAATAGCATACACCTGCCATCAATGAAAGTGATTCTGATTAAAACCAGACTACAGTCAGCTGTTGCTGTAGGATTTGGTTGAATGTTTGGGGTTGCATCCTACTGGGAGAGCTGTGGTCTGCAAAGAGTTGCCACAGAAACTGCAAGAGCTAATTGTTGAAAAGTACCAATCAGGAGAGGGATATAAAAGAATATTGAAGGCACTGGATGTAGCATGGAGCACTGTCAAAACCATCATCAATAAGTGGAGAAAATGTGGCACCACAGAGACATTGAAAAGATCAGAATGACCCTCCAAAGTTGATGAGAGGATGAGGAGAAAACTTATCAGGGAGGCTACCAAGAGGCCAACAGCAACACTGAAGGAGCTACAGGAATTTCTGGCAGGTACCGGTCACTCCTTGCATGTGACCACCATCTCTCGTATTCTGTACATGCCTGGGCTAGGGTAGGGTGGCAAGACGGAAACCCTTTCTTACAAAAAGGAACATCCAAGCCCGTCTTAATTATACCAAAAGATTCATTCAATCATCCCAAACCATGTAGAAAATGTACTATGGTCTGACGAGACAAAGGTTGAACTTTTCAGCCTAAATTGTAAAGGATATGTTTGGCACAAAGCCAATAAAGCTCATCATCGAAGGAACACCATACCGACTTTGAAGCATGGTGGTGCTTTGGGGCTGCTTCTCTTCAGCTGGGTCAGGGGCTCTTGTCAAGATAGATGGGATAATGAATAGCTTCAAATATCAAGATATTTTGGCACAAAACCTGCTGGTCTCTGTCAGAAAGCTGAAGATGAAGAGGAATTTCACATTCCAACATGACAATGACCCAAAGCACACATCCAAGTCGACCAAGGGGTGGCTTCAGAAAAGGAAAATCAAAGTCTTGGAATGGCCCAGTCAGAGCCCAGACCTCAATCCCATGGAAAACCTGTGGAATGACCTAAAGAGAGCTGTACACAGGAGATCCCCTCGCAATTTGAAGGAACTTGAACTTTTTTGCAAAGAAGAGAGGGATAAAATTCCAAAGTCTAGCTGTACAAAGTTAATAGAGACTTATTCACAAAGACTTTCTGCTGTAATAAATGCAAAAGGCGCTTCCACAAAGTATTAGTTGGGTGGGGTGTGCAGACTTATGCAATCATGGTGTTGTAATTTAAATTTTTTTTCCTAATAATTAACTCTTCTTTCTTTCTCTGGATTTTTGTTTGTTGGAAGGTCACAATAAAAATGGAAAGAGTCTGACATTTATGTTGTTATTTCTGTCTTTACATTTTAAAAATCTGCAATTTCATAAGGGTGTGTAGACTTTTTATATCCACTGTAAGTGAAGGGGACATGCAGGGAAAAGTTGACCATAGTGAATACAAAGGTCAAGGGTCACTTACGGTTGATTCAGGGGGCATAAAGAGTAGTTATAAAAAAGTAGTAAAATAATGTCTTTGCATGTATTGCACCTCCATTTCAGGAAACTGCAGTGGCTTGGCATTACATTATTGTTATTTAGCAGATGCTCTCATCCAGAGGAATTTACATAGGTTGCAATTTTTTGTACATGTTACCCACTTATGGATACCATGTATGCTGGATATTTAGAGGCAATTCTGGGTTAAGTACCTTGCCCATGGGTACAGCAGTGCCCCAGCAGGGAATGCAACCAGCAACCTTTTAGTTATGAGCCCCGCTCCTTACCACTATGCTACACTGCTGAATTTTTTTCTTCAACGTCATTTTATTTGTCATCTGAAAAAGTAAATCCAGACGACTGGTGTTCGCAAGATCGCATTGGTGGTTCAGCGGTAGAATTCCCGGGACCCGGGAACCCGGGTTCGATTCCCGGCCAATGCATGACACAGTGCTCTTTTGATCCTAACTAGTGTGTAAAATGCCGATTTATGCCCCACTTGTCTTTGGTGGAGACTATCGCAAAGCTCTACTTTGAGTCTAAGTGGAACTTTTGTGGGCGGCAGTGCAGCATAGTAGTAAGGAGCTGGGCTCGTAACCAAAAGGTTGTTGGTTGGATTCCCTGCTCGGGCGGTACTGCTGTACCTCTCCGTAAGGTGCTTAACCCACAACTGCTTCAGTAAATATCTAGCTGTATAATTGGTCAGTATGTAAAAATTGTAGCGTATGTAAATCTCAAATGCCAATAATTTAATGAAATGTAATGTTTACAGTGTGGCTACAGAGCGAAGTGTGCATGTAATATAATGCGCTTTTAATTCCTCGCATTGAACACGGAGTCCTTTTCTGTCCTTTTATAATGTATCTAAATTGCAAGATAGCAGTCGGAACAGGGCAACAATTATTCACATTTAAAACATATTTACAATGACTTAACTCAATATAGGTGACACTTTCAAATAGAGTTTCCCCTCCCCGACTTCAGATATAGTGCATGGCTGACTATGTCATTAGCTACTTCATTGAACTTAATGGTTCTGCACTTAATTAATGTACTGGATTAATTCTGTACTGTAATACAGTACATAACGTTAGATATAAGGCTCATGGCTGTGATCATTGATAGACAAACGCTTATTTACAATATTGTCATTTAGCAGACGTTCTTATCCAGAGCGACTTACACGGTGCATCTAATGCAGTGGCATGAAAACTTGCATGAAGAGGGCACCACTAACCGCAAGTGAACTAGCTTCAGAGCTAAATATTGGATCCCTCGTTGCATTCATGCTAGCACACAAGCGACACAGCTTTTTTTGTGTGGAAAATCATGACCGAAGTTATCAAAATGAGGACGGGAGTCACATTCGAATCCAATGCGCCTCGAAAACACATTTGAAAAAAAAAGTTAGAAAATTGGGGTCTTTTATCAAGTTCTAATGTTTTATTTAACATATGCTTTACATAATGGCAAAAGAGGAAATCGACCTTTTGAGTCGTTTTAATAGCAGTAAGTAATATCCAGAATAGAAAAACGTTTTCTTCTTTTTCTATTTTTGATTCAGAAAAGAAACTGAAGTATGGAAAATACCACACCTTTCAGGCAAGCTGTTCTCTTGCATATGGATTTGGGAGGTTTTACAGATGAAACTTTTGCAAACAAGACAAGGCAGAGACGATTTCAAACGCAAAATTAAAAACATTTCTTGAGAAGTTAAAAATAGGACAACTGCGTATACCTTCACGGATTCACACTCACTCCTTAAAGCCGGACCAGGGCAAGCTTAAACATACCATGAGGGTAACGGTGAATGCGTGAGAGTTAAGTTTTAGTGTATATGCTTTTACGAGTTTATTTCATCATTATTCATTGTTCATTATTATTATTCATTATTCAAAGCAGCTCCTTTGTTTATAGAACTATGTCTTAGTATTTATATAAATAATCAGTTAGCCTATATTTATGTTCAAATCCAGCATCGACTTGGGTCTTATATCTTGAAGAGTCGCAGCAATGATCGTAAAAGTAGTCTCTTTATGCACAGTTATTAACAGGCGCTGCATGTACCTTGTAAGTACTAACGACGGGATTTAGGTCTGAGAAGGAGTGACATATTCAACTCCGTGAAGGGTTCTTCTGTTTCTGCCCGCATAGTCTTACTGTTCTAGCGGTCCAATGGCCAGCGTATCATTGACTTTTTTAAGTACGGGGATCCTCGCTTGCTGCGGTAGCTACCTTAAGCCTTCAAAATCCCGATGCTCCATACTCTTCTTCCTCTTCTTCCTAGCCACGCTATACACTGCACTCTATCAGACAGCTATACCAAAATGTGCAAATAACGTTCCGAATGCATTAAGAAAACGGTCCTGAAATACTTCGAGCTTTTCACAATAGCGTGCGTGACGTTATTCCTTAACATTTGGGAAAGATTTTGAAATCACAAGAGCACAGATATTATGCTGTAAGATTGTTGTGGAGACGTCCGCTCCTTGAAAGAACAAAAAAGAAAACCACACACACACACACACACACACACACACACACACACACACACACACACACACACACCCACACAACCATTATGCCTACATTAAAAATTGTAGATTTAATCTGCATCTGGGGAAAACACTAATTTTGTGTTGCACTTCACGTTTAGCGCCCTATATGGAAATATACCTGTCGGAAATTGTGTGAGTGCGCAATGACAGTCTAGAGTTTTAATTCATTGTAGGGTTTAATCGCGGGTTTGCAATGAAAGGCTGTTTAAAGAAAAAAAAAACACATAGGCCTACTAAAACCATCTTATTTCTTCCCATTTTTCAAATGTACGGTTACGATCTAAATGATCTATTCAACAACAACATTTTCAGTTAAATTTTATTATAAAAAAAAAGTGTGCGTTTTTTCATATGCGATTCACTGCTCGAATGTTTGTGCCGAGTGGAGAGATCGAAAATGACTGACAATGACTGAAAAGGACTTCCTCAGGAACAGTGGAAGCACAGAGAATACCCCTCCCCTGCCCTCCTACACCCCTTTCAGGTGAGATATGGATATGTTGTGGATATATGGGACCATGAACTCTAGCGTTTTTCTCCCGTCCACCCGCATGACACGGCCAATAGCGGGGCACATGGGCGTGGCGTACACTGCGAGCGCGGCTATATATGTCATGTCTCTCAACATGCACAATCACACCAACAGCAGCCAGGTGAAACCTTTCTGAGCGGTCCCTTAAAGATCTGTTGCGGTTCATTTAGCTGACCGAAGACATGGCCTTGGTGGGACGGCAGCGTTTCTCTGCCAACTCGTTCTCCGGGTTTGGGTCGAGCAGCCGCAGGGCCGCCTCGGCCTCCGCGTCCATGAGCGTCGGTCGCAGTGTGGCTCAGAGCAGCTCCTCCGGGTTCGGCGCCGGGGGCGGTTTTAGCTATGGGGGTGCCGGTAGCGCCAGGCTGAGTTATGGGGCCGTTTCCGGAGGATCGTCCGGTTACGGAATGAGCTACGGAGGAGGGAGCGCTGTTGGTGGCGGACTGAGAGTGGGGTTGAGCCAGGCGAGCGCCGTTGGCAGTGGGTTTGGCATGGGCAGCGGTGCAAGCGCAGGGTACGGTATGTCCGGTGGTGCCCGCGGTGTAGGTGCGGGTGCAGGGTTCGGGATGGCAAGCGGCGCAGGCGCGGGCTATGATTTCGGCGGCCTGGCGATTGAAGCAGGCCCCACCCCGTTTGCAGTGAGCGAGAAGAAGCTTTTGCAGTCCCTGAACGACCGCCTGGCGTCCTACCTGGACAAGGTGAGGATGCTGGAGACCACCAACCGCGAGCTGGAGGAGAAGCTGAGAGCCTTCACCGTCAACAGTGTTCAGACCCGCGACCTGCAGGTATACGAGGAGCAGCTGAAGCCGCTGAGACAGCAGGTAATACTGTCATGTAAATGACTTAAGCGTTATTATTCACAATTGTGTGCTTATCATGAACATCATTAATCGCTTGCATCCCATATTTAAGAGGCAAAGTTACCGTTCCAAAATGAACGAATGACTGTAAATCTTTTTCCGTTCAGGTGTCGCCAAATGTTTTCTTCTGTTTGAATGAATAAACTACATGATAGTTCTCCCATAGCATAACTTTGTTTATATAGTTTGATCTTGCACTGTCACGCATGTTTAGGTGACCATATTCCAAAGGTAGCACTCTCCTCTCAATTCTACCCGACACCCAGCTCCTGACTCTCATGCTGGAAAACTCGCGACTGGCTCTGGAGGTAGACAACGCCAAGCTGGCAGCGGATGACTTCCGAATGAAGTACGTTTCCGTTCAGTCGGTTTTGTTTTGCCAGTCACCAAACGTCCGAGAGCAGTGGGTATGACGTTGCACATGTAACCGAAAAGCTTTTGTTTCCCATACAGATTGGGACGCAGCTGGTGCATTTATTAGCAACGAATCTGAAATGTTTTCTAAATTACGGCTACAATAGCCCAGAACAATGGAATCTTCCAACGGAGTTGGAAGTAAAATGCTATCTAAACATGTATGATGTATTGCGGCAATTGGAGGATGCTCCGTGGACTGTTTTCATGCCGGTTAGTGACTTCTGAGCCGCTGTGTGCGTGTGTTTGTGATATTCTGTAGGTTTGAAAGTGAATACAACATGCGGCAGTCTGTGGAAGGAGACATCACCGGACTGAAGGCGCTGAGGTCGGAGTACGAGTTCAGCAACACGGCGCTGAATCAGGAGCTCCAGATGCTGGCCGGGGAGCTCACGGCAATCAAGAAGAATCACGATGAGGTGTTTGCTCTTGGGTTAACACCCTCCCCTACAACCCTTTGCCTCTTGGTTTTACACATTGTTTACTGAATAGAACAATTCAAGGTCCTTAATGAGTTGAAAAGGTGGACAATACTCATGTCCTATTTTTGTACAAAATTTAACTCATATACTACGAAATGTAGCACTGTCGTTACTGTATGGTCTATGTAGTTGTGTGTGTAAATTTGTAACCGGCCTGGATGGTGCTGTCATGTTCCCAGGAAGTGATCACTCTGCGTGGAGAGATGGCTGGTACCGTTACTGTGGACATCCAGGCAGCTAACACCACCAACCTCTCCCAAATCCTGGAGGAGATCCGCTCGGAGTACGAAACCGTCGTCAAGAGGAGCCGCCAGGAGGTCGAGAGCTGATATACGAAGCAGGTGAGCTTGCACCTGTCGCTGGCTATACACATGTCTGACACTGTACACATGCATAAATGCATATACCTGTCATACTGTGCATCTGTTCAATATTACACACCTATCGTTGCACACCTGTCCCATATAACAGGTGAGCAGCAGTAATGTGAGACAGGTGTGCAGTGAAGAGACAGTCTCACTGCACACCTGTCTCACATTACTGTTGTTGGACTTCATACACCTGTCTCTCACTGCCCACATTTCTCAGAGTATGCATACT